GCGCCCCTGGCCCGTTTCCTAGGCGACCCTGCCCGAGCAAGAAGCGGCAGAGAATCCAGAGGCTCTCACGCCGGCGCCCTCAAAGCCAAACGTGGGCGTGGCCAGGTTTGGGTGGGGGCGTGGCCAGGTTTGGGTGGGGGCGTGGCCAGGGGAGGGAGGTGAGTTCCACCACCTTTTCTCTGAGAAAAAAAGCCCTGCACCCATCTCCAAATTGACTCTAGCTGGCTTACAATGTAACAATAAGACAGCAAATATCTTGACTGTAATGTCACAGTTCTTTTTTCTAAAGAGTTCAGCACATTCTTCTACATTATAAAGTAAGGGTCAATCACCATTTCTCCAAACTTGAGTTGTTTCTTTATTGCATTACTCCAAAATCAATAATTGGTAGCTCTGAATGTGAATGATGCATTGTCTAGCAAGATTTTGTCTTAAAATACATTTAATAAATTACATATTCAAATGGAATTTATGTGGAGTCAGCATGCTAGAACTTTTAGCTTGTGTTGGAAGAAAAACGAGCAAACTCAATTGACACTATAGTGTCGGAGCATGACTTCAGTGTGCATGAATACGGCTCAGTGACTTGGAGGTCTGTGCAGGTGTGGGCAACAAGGCCTAAATTACATTTCAAATATTACCATATGTTCCCACACTAGGGTGAAAGGCAGAGAGAGAGAGAGTAGGAGAACAGCCAAGGTAAAGAATTCATTACGGGGGAGTCATGTTGTGATCTTACACTGGAGACAAGTGATTTTCTGTGATTTAACATTCTGTGAAAATATTCCAAAATACATGGTTACCTCCAGCTCTACCCTGGCTCCATCTGACTGCTCACGGCCTGGACTCTTTATTTAAATTCCAAAGACACTTTGAAATGTTGCTTTTTGTAAAATTATTAATTTAGCATAACATGTATATGAGGACATCACTGCCTTATATTTTAGATGAGGAATCATTCACCTGATCATTCGAGCTTGCAAAGGACACAGCTTTTAATCAAAAAGAATTGTAGAGAGAGAAGGCAGGTGGGAAGGGAAAGG